GTCCAATATCGAAACGGACTTTATTCACACCACCTTCTTTCCAATAACACAGTAATGAAAGGAAAACATTTTCTTTGTCTTCCCATGCGTAGCCAACGTTGGAATTTCCACACATCACTGAGTACCGTGTTAAAGCTTTTTTTTTTTGGTCCAGGCAACAGTCAGCCATGACCCCCTAGCTCTGTACCGGACCCTTAGGGTCAGATTTGTGGGCCGACATGGCTTGTTGAACATCTTCTTAAAATGTTGTTTTGCAAGATTAGGAATGCTTTCATTCACTTTAGATTTATCACCTCAGCTTGATTTTGAAAGAGACGGCCTACCCCATCTCTGTTTGTCCCTCTGTCTGTCTGTCTGTCTGTCTGTCTGTCTGTCTCTCTCTCTCTCTCTCTCTCACTCTCTCTCTCTCCCACACACATGCACACACACACGCACACACACAAACACACACACACACATACACACACACACAACACACAGATCTATATCATTATCATCATCATAATACACACAACAATGTGCCATCCTTCAAATGTGTCGTCATACAAACTATGTTTCTTTCTTGTTACCATGGCAACGTAACCACCAGAAATTTTCGGCGACATCGACTTCATCCACGCGGACGGCCAGCGCACGGCCTCCAGAAACACCAGCAACTTTGACAGCGTCAACGAGAAAGTGGAGCTGACCTTGCAGCAAGGGAAGGCTTACGTCATCATCAAGGTCAGTGTCTGTGGGTAGTGTGGTGTGGGAAAAACGCGCGCTAGTTATAATCTCTAATCTATGCTTCGTTGTTGTTTCCTTTTTAATGTTCTTTTCGTTCTTGTTTTTGTTTTTGTTGTGTTTTTCTTCCTCCTTTTTCTCCTTTTCCATGCTCTCTCCTTTTCCTCCACCTCCTCCTCCTCCCCTTCCTCCCGCTCTTTCTGTTCATGTTCTTTTTGTTCTTTTTGTTCTTTTTGTTCTTCTGGTTCTTGTCCCTTTGTTCTTCTTGTTCATGTTCTTTTCGTTCTTCTTGTTCGTATTCTTTTTGTTCTTCTTGTTCTTGTTCTTGTTCTTTTTGTTCTTGTTCTTGTTCCTTTTGTACGTCTAGTTCTGCTAGTTCTTCTCCTCTTCCTCATCCTCCTCACATATAAAAAAAAAAATCTATCTTGTCTATCCTACTTTTTTTTCTCAGCTTCAAATGACCATTCTCCTTACTCATACAAATATTTAAAACATTAAAATTTGCCGTTATGGCTGGTTGGAGTTATAGCGCCTCGGTGGGTCTTACTCCTTTTCTTGGTCTCTGTTGTTTCTATCTTATTTTTTAGTATAGTGTTTATGAACTTCTCTTTACTTTGATTTTTTTTCCTACAGCAAGTGTAATCAGTAGTTACAGTGATTGTATTTTTAAGTAAGCGTTCTTTCTCACATTAAGCTAATATAATATTATACATGAAAGAACTGCTGCACATATTATAATATTGAATATGGTGCAGTATGCAAAAACCGTTGATTTAGATACAAAATGATTTTATTATGAAGTGCTTAGAGCCAGCCGGGAGTGGGTGCTATAGAAATGATTGTAATTATTATCATAATTTAAACAAAGAAATAAACAAACAAATGAACAAATGAACAAACAAACAAACAAGCAAGCAAACAAACAAACAAGCAAACAAATGCACATGTCCATGTGTGTTCACCAGGTGATCGCTGAGCGCATCGTGCCCACCGACTACGAGTTCAACGTGTGGCGGAAGTCCCAGGCAATCGTCACCAGACAGATCGAGATAGACCTGCTGGCCAATGACCAGAGGAGGCGTCTCTACAACCATGTAATGGACACTGTCGGCCCTCCCAGTGAGTCCACTGTTTGTCTACTAGTCTGTCTGTGTACTTCTCTGTCTGTCTTTCTGTGTGCCTGCCTGTCTGTCTGTCTGTCTGTCTATCTGTCTGTCTGTCTGTCTGTCTATCTGTCTGTCTGTCTGTCTGTCTGTCTGTCTGTCTGTCTGTCTGTCTGTCTGTCTACCTTTGACAGCAGAACTATGCTCTGGATGGAAGAGCACATCAAAGGGGACAACTCATTGCAAAGGAAATTTGCGCTGGTTATTTTTGTTGCTATTGACTCTTTTTTTAGTTTAGCATTTTAAATGGGAGTACATAGAAATAACTTTGTGTGAGCAATTAAGCTCTTCAATTTGCCAAGTATTGAGACTGTTTTTTTTTCTCTTAAATTTATTTAATCTTTCTGCTGATGTAATTACTATTAACTTCATAATAATTCGCTATATTTTTTAAAGTCATCTTATAAAACTGTATTGATTTTGATAAAATCATTGCCCTCCGCACCTACTCACCACAGGTGGGGAGGTGGAAATTGCATGTTCGGCTGAATATTGTTTAAAGAAAAAATAATTTGATGTTCTTGAAGAACTAAACTGCCATTAAGCATCATTTGAGGAAAGTGGCGTGTCAAAATTGAAACAGAAACATTTTGTAAGCTATTCTCGCAACGAACTCAGCTTGAGAACCCATTCTCCGTGGATAAATGATTGAAGTTTTGTCGAAGAAGCCAGCCTTGTAAATTATCTAAATTAATTGTGTTGAAAGGGGCATAAAACATCTATGATTATTATACAATGTAACACGTTTTTTTTTTCTTTCAGTGAGTGCTATCGAAGATGGCCGATCACGGTCGCGCGACGTGTCTCGCTATGAGACGGAACAGTTGGCCCCTCACGAGAGACAACTCAGCGGCATGGAGACCCTTAAACTCTTCTCGCAGATCTTGGATGTTGCAGATGGCAAGGGTGACGTAGACCACACGAACATGCGCACTCGACAGGAAATGGGACAGCTCCCACCCGTCTCTGGAGCTGATTTACTGTATTAGACTTACCAATGAAAAGAAATCAAAAGTGTACGCTCCGCTAACTCCGCAGGTTTAAACCGATCCAACACAAGGGTATGCAAAGATCAAAACTTTTGTTTTTTTAATACTATTTTAATTTTTTGTTTACTTTGTTGCTGGTATGTCTTTTTCTTACTCGGAGGAAAGGGCGTTTCTATTTTACATTACTTGTTTTATTCCTTGTGTTTTTCGTAGTTTTCTTTGCTTTCTAGGAATTGATAAGCAATTCGAAGAATTCCTACAGCAAAGAGACAAAGGGCAAAGTCTGCTTGTTCTGGTGTCGACATAATGTTTTTACATTTAATGTTAATTATGTACTCAAATATATACATTTTACGTACATATAGATATACGTAGATATACATATTATATATATATATATATATATATATATATATATATACATATATGTGTGAATTTGTTACTATTTGCTATGGATAAATTATGATTCTCAGAGTGCGATGAAAACTTTTTTATTAATGGGTACTCTACTCTGGATGTTTTTCTTGGTTTGAAGTTACTGTTACATTGTTGCTGTTGTTGTTGTTGTTGTTGTTGTTGTTGTTGTTGCTGTTGTTGTTGTAGTGTTGATGCAATTGTTGCTTTGTACACATTCCAATGAAAGCTCTTGCAACAAGATCTGCTGTACACGACTGTAGTACTTTATACTCTTATACGTGTATATGAAAAAGCATGTATAGTTTCCTACTGCAAAAAAAAACAACAAAACAAAGTTGTTTGCTTACAAATAAATGATATATATAAATAACATTATTACTGATATTTATGTGTGTATTTTTATATATATACAAAAAATGTTCTTTTATTCTGTCTCATAGCAGTTTCTTATGTTTCTCATTTTTTCACTGTTTGAATGTATAGCGGTAACAATAATTGTACCAAAGATTTAAACTGTTTTGATAGTTCTTATTTGTAGCTTACTTGTTCGCATCCTTATCTCAAATATTCCTGTAAGAACTATCATCAAGCTTCATGCAATAAAAAAAAAGTTCACAGTGATGTCACAAGGAAATGGCCTTTAGCAGTCTTGCATTATAATAAGTATGTATTTCTGAGATATGAGAATTTGATGAGACATGACTTGACTGTGACAAGCCAATTAGGCCCTATTATGTTTTAGAATCGTGGTTTTTATGAGTTAATGTTTTAAATATGCTTTACATCTAAAAATATTTGTTCTGCCATTGTAGAAAGTTTTCTAGAATATGCCGCTAGCTGAATTCAGTAGATGATAGTGAAAGACTATAAAAGATCTGGTACTTTACTTTTTCTCCTGTTACGTTGAACAAATTGATTGTACTTAAATAAGACTAAGAGTTACAGAAAGCTTACAAAACGATCTCTGACTTTTCCTTTGATTATGTCTCTCTTATTCAATTAAAAATAATTGAAATATGCAATTTTACATGTTATTTTAAAACTGTTACATGTATTGTAAATGATTGCCGTACTTACAAAACTGCTGATACAGTGGGGAAATATATATATATATATATATTATCTATTTTTAAGGTTTCATTCTAACTATAATTGAAAACGCTATCTGTATTGGCAGTAACTGTAATCGTACAACTACTATTGTACATGAATATCACCAGTAATTTTATCAACATGTACTTATAAAGACTGCTGAAACAAAATGGTTACATGTATGCGGCAGCAATTTACATTCCTTCTCTGGAGTTATTTCTCTGGATCAAAATGTTACTGTTGTTCCGTGATGGCATTGGTTTCTTCCAAAACTGTACCGTCGTCTTTTAGTTGTTGTGATCATCTTCACAAGGCCAATATAAGGTAATGACTCGTTAAGATGACCTCGCAGCTACCATTTGCTCCAGTCCAAAACCTCTTTCACTTTTTTTTTTTTCCCCCCCAACGAAACCTGTATGATACTGAAGGTGTTCATTTCTCTCAAATGTATCCCTTTGATTAATGCTGTATGCTGGTGATTGCCTTGATGTTGTAGATAATTTACTTCCTTCTCTCTTCTATTGCTACCTCACAGTGTCACAGTTTATCTGTAACATTCCTAGTAAATTCTCATACATCTCACCTTATTTTTAAAGCTTCCAAGGCCTAATTATTCTACATATTTTTTTTACTTTAATGAGTGAAACAAGTGTTGTTGTAAATGGCTATTTTATTGAAACCAGCACAAACTTCTCAATATTGATTCTTTTCTCTTAGTAAATTAAAAAATGAGAAATAACAAGTTTAAACAGGCAACTCTGAATTAGTTGGTAGGCGTAACATAATTTTACAAATTATTGCATATTTTTTGAGTTTGAAAAATGTATTGGTTTGAGCTGGGGATGTATTCAATATTTCGTATTTTCTAAAATGCTGCATATTACATGTAGAGAGTGTACATTCAACTTGTATGCGTATCATTTGCCCTCAGTATATATACCTCGTACACTTTCAGAATACAGCTCTAGCCTGCTTGATTGAATATTCTATCAAATTAAAACACTGGAGATAAAATATTAAAGCAACTGAAATTAATTTCTATTCATCAAATGATTTTTTTTCTAGTATTTAAAAAAAAAAAATATCCTGTAGACTTGTTGATTTGTTATTTTTTAGATGATGTTATCTCACTGATTTACAAAGGTGCTATTAGTCAGAAAGGAGCAAGGCTCATTTATGCTGTAGCAGAGATTATGAATTCATTTTCTTTTCAGTCTTTTTTTTTTAAGATAGAGCTTATCTTGTTATACTTAATAATTTGCGTTTCACTGTTAGCCGTGTAATTTGCTCCGCAAGTTTGATACATTATGCTTAGTGTTTATGGCACCAGTGTGTCATCTATATTTACGTATATACAAACAAATAATTTACAAAGCATGCCCACAGCAACTCTTATGTATGTAAAATTTATTCAAATGGTGTTTTGCTTTGTATCATTCCCCTTTGTCTCTCTGTCTGTCTCTGTCTTTTCATCACTCCTTTCTTTCTGTTTGTCTTTGACTGTCGTGAAATGGATTTCTTATCATTCTGTTATATACCGGGTGCTTTCTTGAAATTTTTTCACATTGACTTAAAATGTGATTCACTTTTGATCTGAACGGTTGTGAGTTTGTTTGCAGGAAGACACCATTTCTGTGCATGTATTCCTCATGTCTGCTGGTACCCCGTACTTGCCAAAGTAGAAATTGAAATAATATGTTGTAAAGACTTTAAATAACAATATTGATGTCTAGTATCCGTATGTGCAGAATACTGCTTGAAGGAATTGAAACTAGAAAATAAGGCAAATCGCATGTCTCACAAAAGTTTATGTTGTGAAGAGCAAATATGATTAAGGCCCAAGCCCCCCTTCATTTTCCCATCCCCACCCCTCATGATTTGTTACCTAAAATTAACTACTTTTGACTATGTTGAATAAATATAAACCTTCATCCTTATGAAGTATGAAGGACAGGTTTTGTTAGCATACATGATGTACAACTTTGTAGTGAGATATAGTAAGTGTCACCTCGGAATGGGGTAGAGTAGATTGGATAATGTCATAACAATTTTCTATTTACTTGTGTGAATGTATTTCATATATCATATAGATATATACCCAGCATTAGTAAGAAAAGATAACTAATAATAACATATAGTGAGGCTTTTTTTCAGTAGGATAGGCGAAAGTATCCAAAATTTAAACAATACTGTATGATGAAAAAAACTGTTGAGTAAGTTTGATTATCAGGAACAAGCTGTTGAAGGATTGATATAAAACAAAAGTTCTTTTACAGCTCATTGCAGTTTTAAAACAAAGTTGAATATCTTTGAAGAGAGAAAAAAGCATCTGGTGAAATGTGGACTACATATTCAATTCTATGTTTCAGAACCACGAATTCAGTACTTGCTGCAAATTTTTGTGATCTGTTTTAAGCACAGAAATGAGGTGTACCATGAATATGTTGTAAGAAAAAAATAGGTTTCACTTATTGCTTTCATCTGCAAATAATTATGAGTAATAAATAATAATAGATGTAACTTTCTTTTTTTTTCCGAGAAAAAGCTACTTGTACTTAGAAAGCAAGACTGGTTTTAATGTGTGCTTCATTTTTATTATTTAAACTGTCTTCCAAAGGATAATCAGATTGATATTTGGAAATAATTTGAAACTGTTAAACTTTCGATAAACAGACTTGAAAAAGCCTCAATGAGTATGACATTTCGACACACATAATTTGAAGGATAATGAATACTATGTCGTGAAATACGTCTTCATAATTCACAAACATTTTCTATTCATTCCATGGTTCTCCCGCGCAAAATATGAAACATACTTTTAGTCTACTTGCTTGCAAATACTTTTCCAAGCTTGAAGGTGACAGATGAGTATAGCTGTAGCATATATCCGGCAGTATCTTAATTGCAATATTGTGATTTGTTTTTGTACACCCCACTTCTAAGAAGCTTCCCTGATCTATGCAGTTTTTACCGTACAGTGCTATGCAGAAGTGCGGGTAGGTGTGACATCTACCAGTTTTGTTTCCAGCCTGTCATTATGTTATCATCTCTGTCTGTGCAGACAATGTAACCCTCTGCCCACCACTCTCAACTGTTATGTATCAAAAGGGTAGATAACTCTCAAATAAACAAATACATAATGCAAACTCTGGATGTTTTTGTGTTTCTAATTATGTATTTGTGAAATGTGCTTACAAATTGAGTTACTTCTCGCACTCCACAAATGGAGGTATATATATACTGGTCAAAAATCGACAATAGGGTTAAATTTGTAGACAATTTTCGATTGATGCCATAATAAGCCGTTTATTATTTCATACTTTTAAGTTGTAAAAACTTAACCTATAAGCGCAACACATCTGTTTCATTCGGTCTCGAATCCAAGAAGTAACTAATTTTGTCAGCACCCTTCTCAAAATGTTAACATTCTTCATACATGTGCAACAGTCTCTCCAAAAACGTGACTTTTGTTTGTTTTGTTTTTTTGTTTGAGTAAAGAGAAGTGC